GTTCCTGTAGCTCAAGCTAATGCATCTTGGGAAGCTGGAGTTGTGGGTTGGGAGTGTTGGGCTGGACAGTGCTCCCCCAGGTCCTACTCCCAGAACCCACAGGGGGATCTCAGATCCAAAGCATTGCTCACTCTACCCCTATCCATACTATGAAGCTTCTAGATTGAACCTACTATGGTCAGGACATGAGATTTGGATCCAGAGACCAAGGTCAATGGCCAGGCTCTGATGTTAGCCAACTGTGACCTTGACCATGCCCTTCATTCTCAGCCAGACTAAGGTCAATGGCCAGGCTCTGACATTAGCCAGCTGTGACCTTGCCCACGCCCTTCACTCAGCCTCAGTGTTCATGTCTGCAGGGAGAGAAGCAGTGGTTAGATGAGGACCTGCAGAGACAGAGCCTGCCTCAAGGCCCAGCTCTGCCAGTTAACTATCTCCATGAAGGCTATTAGGGGCGGCCTCTGCCCCAGTCAGAGGCTATTCCAGCATTCTAGGTCGTGGAGCTGCTAAATTTGACTCTTCACTCACACTTTACATCCAGGTCGTCAGCAAATCCAGCAGAATCTGACCACTTTCTACACCCTCCTCACCCTGGTTTAAAGTCACCCCCGCCGTCTCTTGCCTGCTCTGCCCTTGAGGCAACAATCTCGTCTCAACAGAGCAGTCCAAGTGAGCCTGTTCAGACCGGAGGCAGATCATGTCCCTCTTCTCAGGACCCTCCTGTGGAAGCTGAATTTCCAGCCGCAGCCCCAGGTCCTGCATGATCCGGGCCCATCCACCTCCCTCCTGGCTGTCCCTGCAGTTCCCCTCACAGCAGATCATTCCTCCCGAGCGCCAGCTGTTCCTTCTGGCTAGAACCTTCTCCCCCTGCACCCTCATCTTCAAGTCTCACGTTTCTCAGCGAGGCCTGCCCCGACCACCCTGTTCATCACCCCGCCTCCCTCCTCTCCTTCACCCTGCTTTATTTTTCCCCAGAACACGACTCTTCCTAATGTACAATATTACTCAGCTCGTTCAGTGTAGTGTATCGCAATTCCTCGCCCCGCTCACCCCACGCACACTCCCCAGGGGCGGGGCTTCTTGCTGCCTGGTCCCCTGTGCTCCTCGGGCCTAGCACAGCACCTGGCACACAGCAGGCTCTCGAGAAGTAGCTGCTGAGTGATGGCTGATGAAGGCTGGGTGAGCACCCTGCGAGGTGTTGTGTGGGTCAACTGTGATGGTGGCTGTTCCATCCACCGAGTTGTCTTCACTGGTCACCGTTGGACACTTCGTAGGGCCCCATCACCCCACTGAGGTTGAACTTGGCAGATGGAAGGGGCTCAGGACAGCTTTACCACTGGATGAACTCTCACTACTGACCCCACAGAACTGAGTCCGACCCTTACAAATTGTGTGACACTGGGCAAGTTACATCATCTCTCTGGCCTCGGTCTCCTCATCTGTGAAATGGGCGTAACAACGGTACCTGCCTCATGTTGGGAGGATTCGAGTGAGGTCATGCATGTAATGTGCTCAGGGAAGTAGCTGGGTTGTGTCAGTGACTGTCAGTTTTGTGGTTCCACCTGACGGTTTCTCCATGAAGCTTTA